TCAGAACTAATGAACAAGTTTTCTATAGCCTGGACATCGACGAGGCAACCAGCAAGGAAGAAGTAGCAAATGCCATCACAGAGCAAATAGGCTTTCTTAGAAATAAAATCCTTGAGCGTCAAGAAAAAACGTACTTATTTTGGCAATTGCCTAATTATACTGCATACGGCTAGTCAGCATCAGTCCGGAGGCCATGGGTCTATGGGTTCCTTGTATACATCTTACCTTTGGGCGCCACCAAGTTAATTGTGACTTAACTAGGAAGATAACCTAATGATGTTATAAACAAAACCTGTGCAATTGGAGAGCTTATCAATAAAACAACTAATTAGGTACAATAATGTATCTGGCTTCTTTATTAAAAAATAATAACAATAATGAATAGGGATAGCCAGGACATCATTATGGCTTGTACCAATTTATAAATATTTGATTATAAAAAATTAATGTAAATAACGCATATATAAATATGAATTTTAAGTGAACATGACTAAAAACCTTTTGGTATTTACACTTGTGAGTGATAAGACAAATACAGTATGGGTTACACTTTACCAACAGGCAAATTAAACACAGAAAGATGAAAGTTATTGTTAGGGCAACCTCAGGCTAAAATTCTAGAATTTTATTTAAGGGGCACTTACCGACGTAATTCGGTGTCAGATGATTTATATAAGATTTGCCTAAATAGTAAAGGTGCAACTTACATGTATACAAGTGAAATGTATGTGAAAATCCAGAAGTTTCCAAAGTGAGATTATCTACAGGTTTGGTCTCACTATAGATAGGCTAAGGTATGGTAAGTGAGTCATGAGTCCTATCCACGTTGTATCCGTTCAACGTAGAACTCGACGTGGTTCTGCCAGAGTGGCACCAAGAGAGTTGCTGAAGAATGGCTACCAAAGCCCCAACTGAGAGCAATCCAGATCCAGTCTAGAATCTCTCTAAATACAGCCTAGCAACTGTCCAACTAAAGCCTAAAACTAGGATTGTCCAACTATAGCCTGAGACTAGGACCCTATAACGATGTTCGTATAAAAAAAACAAATCGAGCCCAAATATTAGAAATAATCTTACCTCAAATTGAGGGATACTCTAGACCAAAGGTGAAGTCTTAAACTTCCAAATGCTGCTCGGAACAGTCCTATTAAAAAAAAATGGAACACGTGTTGTAGGTTAATATTTCCTGAAGAAAATCTCAAACTTACCGAAACAGAATCCAAAAATGAGCAAGGGACGACTCTAGACAATTATCAGCAAGAAATTAGTCTACTTGAGCTCCCTGGCACAAAATTCCCAAAAGTCTCGCCCCAAAAATAATTAGGGCCGAGACCCGAGACCGGACGACTACTCAGCGTGAGGTCGCAGATCAAAAAGGGCAGATTCTTCATTTCGAATTTAGATTTCGGAAGCAGACTTTCATCTGTCAAACTTCTAATTTTGACATTGAAGAAAATTATAGAAAAGGACGTGTTCAGTTTTACCCCAAAAGTACGAACTGAATATCGGTTGTGTAAAAAATGACTGGTGAATGTTGAAAAGTGCCTATAAAACATATATCAAAAGGTAGAATAGGTCTAAAGGAAACGCCTAGACAAAACAGCTGTTCAATGACATGATGGAAATGAAAAGTCAAAGAGTACAAAAAAACAACAATTATTATCATAACCTCAGGTTATTGATTGGATTTGCAAACAGAGATGATGATGGTACTAACTCCTTTTCCTAAGATTCTAATCAATAACAGCGGGCCCTGCCGTACTGAATCAAACCTTCCTAGATCAATTAACCAAACTTGCAAACCTGAACCAAAAAAACTTCTAGTAGAAGGCAGCACTCAAGGTAACAAAATCTGGGCACAAAAAAGATAGTTGTTTATTCATTTATTTCATTGTAGCTCTATATGGAATCATATCCAGTATGGCAAAACAAGGTAGGTTATTAGCCAAGAAATTGAAAACGTTACAATCAAGCCGCAACAATAGGGATCCAGAGCTGGGACTCTGTAACGAATAGAGATACTTTCTCTATGTCTACTGACGTCCCCTCTTTATTGATTTCGAAAAGAAAGAAAAAGACAGCAAGTGTCATAGCGATAGGGATAACGATCTCTATCCGTTACAGAGTCCCAGCCCAGCCAGCCCACGCAAGGAAGCTCCTAGAAGCAGGCAAAAGCAAAATAGGATGGCTAACCTGCAGAATCAAACAGAAAGTCCAACTGACCCGATGCTACAAATGCCTAGAATTTGGCCATCGCACTACAGAGTGTAAAGGGAAAGACCGTACGAAGTCTTGTATGAACTGTGGCGAAGGAAATCACCAAGCAAAAATGAATCCAGTCACAGTTGTGAAGTCAAGAACCACAGAATGGACAACGCAGGCTGCCCGAAATACCGTAGACTCCTGGAGAACCGTCGGAGAGACCTAGCGAATAACAAATAGATAAATGATCACCAGAAAAAACAACAGAATAATAAGGATATGCCAACTAAATTTTAATAGGAGCCATGCAGCGCACGACCTCATGTAAAAAACAGTTGAAGAAGAGAAAATAAATATAATAATGGGATGTGAGCTAAATAAAAAAAGATCCCTAGTACTACTTCTGCGACTCCGATAGCGATAGTTCCATCCAGGTTTTCGCGACGGCAAACCTACCTCTTGTCAGAAGAGTCACACAAAAAGGCTTCCTATGCCTGGAATTGGAAGACCTCACGCTAATATCTTGCTATTTTTCCCCAAACGGAGACTTGGAGGATTTCGAGATAGGTACTTCTCCAGAACATGGAAAACCAAATAAAATACACAAACTCCAAGAAAATCATTATTGCGGGAGATCTAAATGCAAAAACACCTGCCATAGGATCAGATCGCATAAACCAGAGAGGCAGCCTCCTTGAGAACTGGCTAGGCGCAAATAAGATGGTAGTGTTAAATGAAAATAGTACGCCAACTTTCGTGAGGCGAAACGGCCACTCTGTGATCGATTTCACTGCAGTAACAGAAAATTTCGTGAACAACATACAGAAATGGAGAGTAGATGAGGAAACAAAAAATATGAGCGACCACAAAACTATTAGATTTGAGATTGTAAATGAACGCCAGACCGAAGCGAACATAAATAAAAACGGACAAGATAGATGGAAATTCAGGCCAGAGAAACTAACCAAACTAGCGAGGGAATTTTCGATAGAAGCGAACGACCTGGGCGAAATCACCGCAGAGAACATGACTGAACTGATAAATGAAAAGTGCGAGAAGTTTTTCAAAAGAAGGCCAAACAGCAAAAAATATAGTCCGGCCTACTGGTGGAACGAAACGATAAACGAGAAACGCAGGATATGTATGAGCATAAGAAGGAAACTGGACAGGGCAAACAAAAAAAACGATCTCCGTAGCAGCAGACTCTCCTAAAACGGAGTACTTGGAAGCCAGGAAGACGTTGAGATGGGAGATAGAAAATAGCAAAAAGCAGAAGTGGAAGGACATATATGTGACGAACTGGATGAGGACGTTTGGGGAAAGGGTTATCAAATTGTGACAAGGAAGCTAAAATTAAGACCAAATATACCACTAAGCAGAGAAACTATTAATACACAGGTGGTGAAGCTTTTCCCAACACGAGACCCGCCTATCTGGACAAAATACAACCTCTCACAGGAAGAGGTTAAGAAATGGAATATTAGGGACATGGAAAACGCGATAAAGGAATTGAAAACCAAAAAGACCCCGGGCACGGACAATATACTAACAGAAGTGCTGAAAATATGCGCGGGAGAAAGCAAAGCCCCTCTCCTTAGAATGTTAAATAAATACTTGACCGAAGGATCCTTCCCAGACATATATGGAAAACAGCAAAATTAGTCCTCATTGAAAAACCGGTAAAGAGCCGGAAGGCACCGCCAGCATACAAGCCGATAAACCTGATAAACTCAGGTGGCAAGCTCTTGGAGATTCTAATCAAACAAAGGTTGCAGGAAGAAATTACAGAAAAAGGATTAATCCATAAAAATCAGTTTGGGCATCAGAAGGGTAAATCTACTATAGACGCTGTAAGAACTATACAAGAAATACGGGAAGAAATAAACAAAAAGGCAGTAAAAAACAGAGACTTCTACGCTATGGTATTAAATAGATATTGAAAATGCATTCAACACGGTAGCATGGAAGGGAATTATCGATACACTGATGAGAGGAAAGGTGAGCGGATATCTAATAGAGATCATCAAGTCATACCTAACAAATGACCCAAGCGGAAGACACCTACGAACTCTCAAGCGGAGTGCCACAGAGATCTATTATAGGACCCATTCTTTGGAACCTTTTCTATGACAGAATACTCAGAGTGAGCGCGGGAAAAGATACCGAGACAGTTATTGCCTACGCAGACGATCTAACGGTAGTGATAAGGGCAAAAAATAAAGAGACCCTAGAGCAAAAAGCACAAATAACGGTCGCAAGAGTTATAAGACAACTAGAAGATATGGGACTGAGGGTGGCAGCCGCCAAGACGGAAATGGTGTTACTGGCCGGACGCCGAAAAATCAAAAAGATGGACGTCATAATCGGAAATCAGCTGGTGGAAAGCTCAAACTTAGTGAGATATCTGGGAGTGTACCTGGACAAAGATCTTAAAATGACACAGCATGTACTTAAAGTTACCGAAAAGGCGAATAGCATGATAAACTGCCTGTCCAGGATTCTGCCTAGAACTGGATGACCTAAGCCGGCTAGGAGAAAGCTCCTAGCTAGTACAGTACAATCCGTTGTACTGTACGCTTCGCCAACATGGGAAAAAGCTATCCGTCATCAAAAATACTTGAAGATGCTTGAGAGAGTGAACAGACGACTAAGTATACACATCACATCAGCATACCGTACGGTGCCATCCGAAGCAATACAAGTTATAGCGGGACTGATACCGTTACACATAACTAGCGCACGAGAGAACGGAAATATATGGAAAGGGTAAGGATTATAGAAAGGAGGCGCGTCAAGCGTTTCTGTATGTTTTCCCCTGATGAATGCCGAAAGGCGTACCAGGGTAGAAGAAAGAGGAGTTTGTTTTTTAGTCGGTAGGCCGGCTCTCCTTCAGAGGCCGAATCCGACACGACCCGACCAACAGGCCATCAGGTCGGGTGTCTTGCAGAAGATCCACAAATGTGAGGTAAGTTTCCAAATATCTAGCAGATCTCTTTTCTATGACTTGTTTTAGGCAAAATACGTTGTCCGTACAATCTTCTTCAATGAGATCACGCAGGATTCTACCGTACCGTATAGTCTGCTTAGTGTGCTTGTGACTGATATGCCCCGATAGTTATTGCAATATCCAGCTTATTTACTTTTTTGTGAATGGATGATATAAAAGCCGTTTTCCAGTCTTGTGGAACAGGATGTTCATTTAGGCATTTATTGATAATACATGATGTGGGACCTTTAAAGAGCTTCTCTAAGTACGTTCCCCATTTCAGCATTTCTGAGTATATATATTCCTTCTGCGCCGCTAGCTTTACGTGACTTAAGATTCTTAACAGTCTTTTTCACTGTTTCTTCAGATATGTCAACTATACTTCTCCATATACTTCCATATGTCTTGGAGAATCTAATACATATTCCGGTGTACTTTCTAGTAGTAATGTTCTATCCATTGCTCTGGTTTAATAATCTAGATATTAGTTCTGTCTTTTTCTGGGTTTTTGACATTTGATATAAATCTCCATACCTCTGAGCATTTCCTTCCTCCTATGTAGGTGTTAATTTCTTCACATTTCTTATCCCATGACTCGTTCTTAGCTATCGTGATGCACGTTCTTAGTTGTCTTTTTGTGTCTTTAAAAACTTCAAGGTCTTATTTATTTTTTGTTGTTAGCCATTTCAGATATTTTTGCTTCTTCTCTTGGACTAAATTAGCTCCATCTCCTCGTTCCACCAGTATTTCTGGTTGGTATTTTTTTCCTTCATTCCTATTGCTTTTTAGGTGGCTTCTATTAGACTCCTTATGATGTTCTCATAAAGTTTATATTGAAGGTACACTCTTCAGGGTTCAATAATTTGCTATCGAGTCGCCTCTGATATATGTGTTTGAAAAATCCATTGTTAATTCTAAGATTGTGGGTCTCACAGAGCCATTATCATTGATTATTTCTTCTCCAAAATGGTCCTACGACTAGGCCCTTCCCGGTCTTCCATTGAAATTCCCTATAGCATTTATGGTTCTTCTATTTCTTCCAATATATTTTTCGGTTTTACCAACTTTAAAAAGAACATATTGTGACTGCAATAAAAACAAAATTAAAGCTCTTTGTCCGCAAATTCCAATTTCCTTTGTCCCCTGCATTTTTTAAAAATAAATGGCCATTTTAACATTGTATATACACTATCGTGTGTAGCTGACAGGCATGAATGCAGCAATAAAAACACTGAATGATCGATATATTATTGCCTCTATCTATATCGATGTGTTTGTTTTTTTTTTTCTTCGGAATTATCCAGACGTGGAATTCAATTTCCGTTTTGTGTGTGTGTGGGTTCGTTTTCAAGCCGTCAAGCGATGCTTTTAATTGAAAAATGGGTTAAGAAAATACATTTTGAACTCTAAAAAGTGATAATATTTTCCAATTTTCGTTGCCAATTCAACGAAATCTCTATTTTCTGGATTTTTCCAGTATTAGTTTATGCACTCTAAAATGTCGCTACGCAGAAAGACGAAATTACCATTTCTTCTGGAAAACGGTTAAAGCGTTCCGCACCGAAAAAGAAAACTGTTACATAATAAAAGGATTTTCTTGTACGTATTGGCTGGATACAAAATTTCGCTTGAGCCATTGAATTTTAATAGAACTCCAAAGGGCGATTGAAGGAGAATATACCTTTTCATTACACTTTTTCGTTATGAGTACCTACTAGTAGCGACTTTTTTTTTTTTAAACCAATAATACATCAGAGGACTTAGCTTTTACCTCTCTAAATGGACTGAGTTTTCCAGTCCTTTTATTAGAACAAAGATTCTAAACTGATGACAGCATAGTTTCAAGTCAGCACAAAAAAACTATATGCTATATTCATTCCAATTTTTGATAGTATACTGCAGATTTGTACACTCAATTACAAAGAAGAATTTCTTTGGAAAATGGACATGGACTATGGTTGAGCAAGTCTCTAGAACTGATGAAGTTTATCAGTTTTCCTGCAACAGAGAAAAGACAAAGCTAGTAAAATCCAGAATGCAGAGAATCATCAAAATCAAGCTTCAAGAATACTTAATATGTAAAAAATGTCTTGATTGGATTATATTGGCATGGAGTAACTTTGAACTTCTAATGATTATTTAGGTACCTAACTATTTGAAGCAAAGAGTTTCTATGTTTTATTTTTTTTTCAAATGTGCTTGCTATAACGAAATTTTAGTATGTAGTACCATCGGCACTTATTATACAATCCTCACTACAAGTGGGCGCAATGACCTTGCCTCATACATCGTTTTCAGCCCAGAAGTAGAGATAAACAATCCCCGGTTAAATATACATGAAGTCTATTTAAATTTCAAACTTGCAACCATAATAAGCTTCCAGTCTTTTTATCATGCAACGTCAATGGAAAACGCGCAGAACAATCGGCCTAATATTAATCATAATTAGTGCCTATTTGTTCATAAAAGTAAGCAATTATGAGCATAAAGCTTCAGTGTTTCTGTACAACGTGCATCCAAACGAGCCTTGGGAATTTGTAGCTGATTTTAGTAATATGAAGTACTTAAATCCCACCATGTAAGTATCTACACCATTTTTGCAGCCTAATAATAATTTATTCATTTTATTTTTTGCAGAATAAATTTTTCTATTACTGCCGAAAGTGGCAACTATAATCATTGGAATTACAGTACGGAATATTCAGAAAAATTATCCCATTGGCCTTATCTACCCAACCAAGCAGTTGCTCATTTTCAAATAAAAGCCAATCATGAAGATAATATTTACTTTATACATTCTATTCATAAAACTTGCATGTTTATGAATCTTTATTGCTGTAAGTATTTTACATAGATAAATAATTGATTGTATACAATTTTAAGTAATTTATTTTAGTATACTCTGAAAGTGTATTCAAATTTTCTAAATCAAATCGCACAAATGGAGCCCAATGTGAAGAAACTATCCACTATCAATGTCCAGTGTTCTTGAAACCTTTTTGCCAAAGAGAAGTCTTGCACCAAAGACACCTAATAATGGATAATTTAAAAAAGAAATTCACCAAATAATTCAATCATTATATTTATAGTCAATTATAAAACTCTCCAAATTTTCATGCAACCATTTAATCCAATCCTCATCCACCAATTTACTAAAAGTGGCTTCTTGAAAGACCTCGCTCTTGCTCACTTCAATGAACCCAATTTTAGTAAACATGCTTATACTGGGCACGTTATCCAAAGTAATTTTGACCACAAACTGTTTAACTTCTAAATGAGTGATCGAGTAAAGGAACATTAGGAGCATGGCTTCCCAGCCGCACTTTTTGCCACGAGCCCACAATTCTGCGATCATTATTTCGGCTTCTGCACAGATACGGTCTTCGGGGGTTGCAAAGAACAGATTCGTGTCTCCAATCATTGAATCTAGAATGGAATTACTTGATTTAATGGAATGGATCTTGAAAAATCTATGTGTACTGTACAATCAGAGCTGGGGTACTACTGGTACCTACTTAATAAAGTAAAATAGTCAATAATACATTTTGAAACTTTAGGTATTTTACTTAAGTAGGTACTTTTATAAAGAAAGTAGGTACTTGTACTGAAGGGAAAAAAATCTGAAAAAAACTAATGAAGTGTTGCTATACAATACAAGTTAAATTGCACTTTACCACTCAATTTTGTATGCAGAGTTTTGTATTAAATTACTTTGATAAGTAAGTTTATAAGTACCTACTTTAATAAGTAAATTTACAAATTCTACAAACCTACCTACTTATATGTACATATTAAAGTATTTATAAGTATGTACTTGAATGGCATTTGAAACATACCTCTACCTAAATAGTGAAGGTAGGTACTGCTTCTTTTACTTTGAGTAAAATACTAAGTGTTTATACCTAGTACATTTGAAATATATTAGGTACCAAATCCTTGATACTTCAAGTATATTTGCTGAATACTTTGGTTCTTCAACTCATCTTTGTGCAATTATATTAATACTTAATTATATGGTGATTAAAGATTAGTTGAGGAAATTTCTATTACCAATTTCATTTCCAGATTCTTCAAACTTGTTTTTATGCAGTACTATGAATGTTAACTCTAGAATTAAATAGTTTTTAGCATACAAAGTAGAAAATTGCAGTATAGGAATTACTGTTGTTGTCCCTCTGCCATGATTTTTGCATTTCGTATTCTTGTTCCAAAGTGAGGGGTTCTGAACCGGTGAAATACTGAAGTTCTTCAGATGTCATCCATTGGTGATATCTAAGTACACAAAAATCAAGTATTTTTTAAGGTGAATTTATCTGATTATTTGCAACTTACTTGGGTACGTGTTCCTCTTTGTACGGTACCAGGATTACATGGTTTCCTATTATGCGAGTGTATTTATTAATTATCATTTTGTTGTTTTGTACTTTGGGATTTTTCATTGAACTATCATATGAGGTTATGTATATATTGAAGTTCTCTCCTGCAGTGTTGCCATTCATCATAAGAAATGTATGTTTTATGTGTCCTAATGGTCATTTGGGATCCCTCAAACTCCATACATTAAATTATTCTCAGATTTGAAGCTGAAATGTATGAAAAAAGGCACTCAGAAAAATTGAAAAATTGATAAATCACCCCAATAAAATTGCTTAACACGATTCTATCTCAAGAACTATACGTGCAAATGAGCTGAAATTTTCAGGGATTGAAGTCTTCTACTGGAATAAGAATCGCTGAAAATTTCAGCTTTCTATCTATAATAGAAAAAAAGTTATGACCTTTCAAAGTTTTCCAAAATCTAAATCTACCTTCTTACTAAAACGATGAAATTTCAAATTTTTTTTTGTCGAGATTTTGTATCCTAATGGTCAATCAACATCCCCCAAACTCCATACACTAAATTATTCTCAGATTTGAAGCTGAAATCTATGAAAAAAGACACTCAGAAAAATTGAAAAATTGATAAATCACCCCAATAAAATTGCTTAACACGATTCTATCTCAAGAACTATACGTGCAAATGAGCTGAAATTTTCAGGGATTGAAGTCTTCTACTGGAATAAGAATCGCTGAAAATTTCAGCTTTCTATCTATAATAGAAAAAAAGTTATGACCTTTCAAAGTTTTCCAAAATCTAAATCTACCTTCTTACTAAAACGATGAAATTTCAAATTTTTTTTTGTCGAGATTTTGTATCCTAATGGTCAATCAACATCCCCCAAACTCCATACACTAAATTATTCTCAGATTTGAAGCTGAAATCTATGAAAAAAGACACTCAGAAAAATTGAAAAATTGATAAATCACCCCAATAAAATTGCTTAACACGATTCTATCTCAGGAACTATACGTGCAAATGAGCTGAAATTTTCAGGGATTGAAGTCTTCTACTGGAATAAGAATCGCTGAAAATTTCAGCTTTCTATCTATAATAGAAAAAAAGTTATGACCTTTCAAAGTTTTCCAAAATCTAAATCATAAGGTAGGTACCTTCTTTATGACATATTGATAAGTTTAATGGTGCTAAAGAATTCCATTTAAAATTGTTTGCAATTTCCTACAAACGCACACTGATGGTGCTTTAGGATATTGAAGAAATTATAACTATCTTCGTTTCAAATGTCTTCGATCTTCAAAGATGATTTGTTAAACTATGGAACTGGTTTGTGCTTACAGGAATTTCTCTATATAGGTAAGTAGCTGGAGGTTCTTTAGAAACGAAGAAGCAATTAAATTATTTCAAAATACACAAGAGAGTCTGCGTACATCAAGTTTGATAATTGAATTATCTATCACCATCCACATGCTGTTCTTAATAGAGACGTGAGTAAAAATCTTCTATGTGTCAACCCAATCCATCTCCTATGAATTTCATACGCAATTTCGTTTTGAGAGAGGACTTTGCGTCTTTTCTCACAGTGAACTCTCTTGCCTCACGATGTAATTTTACTTTAAATTACTTCTATAAACATAGTTGAGTTTGTTTGCTGCGTGTATCTTCCATCCAACGACTTCAGTTATGAACTTCTATATTTGAAAATCTTGCAAATACATTTTATTCTATCTAGGAGATCCATTCGAACTCTGAGATTATATTCATGGGAGATTCTAATGGTCATAACTCAGAGTGGTTTAAGTTCTTGAACAAAGCAACTTATGCTGGAAGGAATTGTTGAAGTCTTTGCCATTTCACACCAAGTTCTTGCCCATACGGATTCGCCAAAAACACTTCATCCGTTTCGTGTACTTCGAGAAAATATACCTGCGGTTTTTCGCTTGCCGCTACCGGTTTCAATCAAGACGGTTTCGTTTGTACTTCTTCGCATTGGACTTGAACTTCCTGAAAGAGTTGGCCAGCTGAGTGGAGTTTGGAAGTAAAACCAGCTAAGGTGAAAAAATATCCTTTTCAGTTTCGATATCTTTCAATTTCAATTCGAAATCTTTGATCGATTATCATTCTATCAGCAACCTGTGGATTTTCCAGTTTTAATTTGGCATATTAATTTACTCAATCTGTTTACCCTTAATCCCGATCCTTACAAGAGCGAAGTGTTTGCACCTTTGGGCGACTCAGACCAAAAATTGATTTTCGCTAGAAGCTCGCTTGTTATAACCTCAGCCCCTCCTGCCATACGTCGTAGGGTGTGGCATGATGGAGCTGCAGACTGGGAAAACCTTGAAACTCCTTTTCTCGGCCGATGTTTGCTTCAAATTTAAAGATTGCTCCGAGGCTGCACAAGAGAATATATAGAAGTAATTATTCTTCCGAACGAATTTTGCCATTGGGAGCTTGTCCGCTATTGTTTTATTCAGTCTCTCTGTCAGGCGGTTGCAGCAAGGGTGGTAGGCCGTTGTGAAGTGGCTTTTTCTACCCAACTCCTTGTGTCTTGGCATTCCATGTATCAAGAATACTCTTTCCAGTAAAAACTTCGTTACTGGCCCTGCTTTTCCATTTGGTAGGGCAGCTGTGATGGCGTATATTAATGCATAGTCCGTAATCACTACTATCATAGTTTTCCCTTGATTACTTCTTCTGAACGGGCCTAGAAGATCAATCCCTATTTTATCAAATATCGTCCCCACCTGGATTGGTTGTAAATACCCTAAGGTTTTTCTATATGGCTGTCCCTTTCTTGCTTGGCATCCCTTAATATATTTTTCTATGTCTTTCAGCATTCCGTCCCAAAAAAAACGTCTTTTTATCTTATCCGTTGTTTTGCTTAAGCCCAAATGGCCACATGTTGGGAAGCATGGAGTTCTCACAGGATTTCATTTCTCATTGATTTTGAAATCACTAGCACTTTCTCTAAGCCTCTTTAAGTTTTATTAATTTTATACAGTAGGTTATTTTCGACTCTAAAATTCTTTGCCCTTTTTCAAATGCCTGTGTTGATGTCTGGGTCTTCTGGATTCTCTACTGCATTTCTAAGTTGTCTCACCTCTTGGTCATTTTTTTGTAACGTACACATTTCCTCTGTTCTCAATGCAAGTTCTTCCTGTCCTTCATTATCTTTGATTTCTGGTTGGAGTACTGGCGGGTTGCGAGACATACAGTCAGAGTAGATCTATATGCGTTGAACCTTTCTTATAAACAATTGTATAGTCGAATTCTGCTCCATCCAGCAAAGCGCGTGGTGATCAATTACGTTTTTGACTGGTCGGCCGTATATTAGATGCCTCAGATAGCTTAGGGCCCAGATCACTGCTAATAGCTCCAATTCGCTGATTGAATAGTTTTTTTCGCTGATTGACAAACTACGACTTATGAAAGCTATTGGATGTATGCACTTCCTTCGCTTTCTTGTTATAGTACTGCTCCGATTCCGCATGTCGATGGATCAGTGTGTAAGCACAATCTTACATTTATTTGGGACAAAATACCTTAGTACTGGTGCTGAGGTGAGCTTGTCTTTTAGAACCGTGAATGCTTCTTCCTGTCTAATACCCCATTATTGGAACTTTGTGCTCTTTTTCGTAATATCATGTAATGGCCTGGCAATTGTTGAGAAGTTGTTTATAAATTTTCTGTAAAAGTTACAAAGTCCTAGGAAGCCCTGGACGTCTTTGACCTTTCTTGGTGTGGACAATCTCTTGACGCAATCTATCTTTTCCTCATCTGGTAGGATTCCTTTTCCGCTGACGTGAAAGCCTAAGATTTTAATTTCTTGCTTCAAGTATTCGCATTTGCTTGGCTTGAGGGTCAAATTTGCCTGTCGTAGTCTTTCAAAAACCTTTTTTCGTTTTTTCAGATGTTCCTCCATAGTTTTGGAAAAGATAATTATATCGTCCAGGTAGATCAATATTGCCTTCCATTTTGGGTCACAAAAGACTCTATCAGCTAGTTCTTGGAATGTTGCTGGAGCGTTACATAGTCCAAAGCTTAGCACGTTGAATTCGTGAGATCAGAGCCCTTATGTAGGTACAAATGCAGTGTATGGTTTAGAGCTTTCTTGAACAGGTACTTGCCAGTAACCCGAAAACGTATCTAAGGTGCTGAAGTAGGAAGCCTCCCCTAAATATAATAGAATATCATCAATATGGGGTAATGGGTATGTTGATTTCCTTGTCTATATAAAATCTAGTTTTTCCATCTTTTTTTCTTGACTAGCACTACTGTACTAGCCCATGGCGAGTGACAAGGACGAATCACACTGCTCTCTAGCAGGGACGTAGCGAAGGCCTCTGGTTTGGGGGGGGTGACATTCCTAATTTTCCCAACTTTTTTGAAACATAAAAAAAATCATATATAGCATCGTACACGTGTTAAAAAGTGAAACTTTTTAAAAACTATTCCCTTCCTCATACAACTTTTAGACATAGCGCATGAGTCGAGGTATAAAGACGAAAGGCTACACAAAAGAAAAACGCGCATCTGTAGTGACGTCACAAAGGTAACGGCGCTTGACAATAATAGGCAATCCACTTTGTTTATAATCCTTGGTTTGTGTGAATCGTTCGTCGGCTGTCATTGTCATTGGCTGTCTTTCTCCGTCTGTCTACGTCGCCGCATATCTTTCTTCTCTCTCGTCTCTCGTATGCCGAAATTTGCCAAAACGTGTCGTTACGTTAACGTGACGCGTCTTTCAAAACACTTTACAAGAAGTTTCACTTAAGAAAAATCATGTGCAGCATTGTGCACGTGTTGGGAGGTGAAACTTTTTAAAAACTATACCCTCCCTCATACAGCTTTTAGACTTAGCGTATGAGTCGGGGTAAAGACGAAAGGCCACACAAAAGGGAGACGAGCATCTATAGTGACGTCACAAGGGTATCTGCGCTTGACAACAATAGGCATTCCTCTTTGCTTATAAACCTTGGTTTGTGTTAATCGTTCCTCGTCTGTGATTATCATTGGGTACATTCAGGCGGTCCCAGCGGCTAAGCTTAGCCACTCATCAGGGACTTTATTCTCGAAACCAAGGATTAGCGTTCTCATAAGAACGATTG